GATTAATTTAAACTAGAATAAACCTTAGACTATACAATGATTAGTTATAATTTATGAATTTATAATGATTAATAATAAGTAATATTACTTACAAACTTACAAATTATAATGATTAGTGATAAGTTATATTAGTTACAAACTTATAATTTATTTCAAATCAAAATAAAACTTATTTACTTACATATGTTATTGTGAAAGTCAATACACATTAATACTTGCAAGTTATAGGTTACGCATTCAAATATTCAATAATTTAAACATGAATGATGTATCAAATTACCAATATCTAAATTCTAATTACTAATTATGTTTATAGTTAAATATTTAGTATTATACATATATGTATTAATTATTATCTGATTCTAGACATGTTACTCATGTATAAAATAATAAGTATTATAGTTATGTTATATTGTTATGTATTACTATATATTTGTATTATTATAGTCACATAACAATTAACAAATACTAAAATAATATACTATACATTATTATTATTATAAGTACATTATAATATCATATACTAACCATTATTAATAGCATTTACCTATATAATATAATAATATATTAGTAGTATATACTAATACTAAATAGCATTTATCTATATATTATATAATTTTATAAACTAATTTGGTATTCAAATGCGGTAATGTGATACCCTATTTCATTTTACCGAATTTGAATACGAAATCGATTATTACCAAATTCATAATCTCATTACCTATTTGAAGGGCAGGGCAAATGGATAAAAGTTCAATTAATATTTGGTACGTATCGAATTTGTACCAAATTATCAAATACCAGATTTCAAATTACCAAATTGAATTTGAATTCAGTTATGAATTCGGTATGTACCGAATTTGCTCATCCCTAGTTTTGTCTTGCGTACCAGCTTAGGTATTAAAACTGAAGTATCTTTCCCTGTTTGTTTTTGTCCAATTTTCTTGTGTTAAATTTGATCATGTAAAGTGTATATATATATAAATAATAATAATAAGGAGCCGTTTGGTTCAAATTCCACAATCACTATCGCTATCGGTGTCATAAGGTGGTCAATAATAATTAATTTTGATGAAAGCCCATAGTGTGTTTATTAATGTTGGAATGGGTTTTAAAATTTATTATTTTTCCTTTTCATTATTTTTTTCTTTTCTTTTTTCACATATGTTGAAACCAGCAAAAACGGTGGCATTTTGTTTTCTCATTTTCACATTTAAGCAGGAATGAAACAGAAAATCTAAAGATGATCACCTTATATCCCAAGATAACAGACAAAACGTTTCAAGACTTCAGCCCATCTGGGTACCAAATCCAGCTTTTAACTGATGGGCTTCCGACGACCAACTTAAAAAATAGTTGGACCGGGTGTCCTGATTGGGCTTCCAAACTTGGTCAGCCGAAATGCTCTAGTGGATAAGAATCTTTGTTTTCAAGGGATCCAGTTCTGAACAGGGAAAACAAAATTTCAGAAAAATAAACCCAAAAAATCGATCCATACAGCCTAGATGAGATGCTTAGATTTTGGAAAAATCGATTTATTTTCTATTTCAAAAGTTTGGTAAAACAGTTCTCGATTACCAGCCAAATCACCAAATGTAATACGTTAATAGTGTGAATTAATCTTCTATACACTAACATTGTATACACTTGCACCATTAAATGCATGACACATAATCCGAATTTGAATTTAAAACCCAAAATTTTGCAAATGTGTCATGCATCCTATCGTGATAGTGTATATACTGTCAGTGTATATAAAATTTACTCTAATAATATATCATATGCTGCTGCCAAACTTCAAGACCCTCTTATCTATCTTTAGTCACTTTTGCAACTCACAACCTTGTAGTTGCAGCATTCCGCGAGGCGAGTCCACATTATGGTATTGCTCCATATCTGTGGAATTCTCTGAAATGGTCCTCATTTTAAGATTAATTTTGATGCTTCCATCTCCACTGCAGTAGTGTCTTTGATATTGGAGTAGTTATCCGTGACCACGAAGGATCATTCATTGCTGGTTTATCAGAGAAATTTGATGATATAGCGGGTGCGGAATTGGCTAAAGCTTATATTGCTAGAGAAGCTGTTAACCCTGCAGAAATTCTGATGATCCCAAGTTCTTTTTTTTTTTTTTTGGTGGGGGGGGAGGGAGATGCCGCCGCTATTATCGAGCTAACTTATACTCCCTCCCTTTTTTTATAACTGACGTTTAAGAAATTTGCTCTTAAGTACTGTTATCTGTCGTTTTATTATCCCCATGCAGCATTAATTATTTTTTCACAATTTTACCCTTTTATCTCTCTTTTCATAATTGGTGGGAGTTAGTTTGCATTGCTTTTGGCCTAGTAAAACAACACCATTTAATACTCTAGTGAGAGAAAATACTGGTGAATTGGATAATTAATGAGGGTACAAAAGGAAAATAGTGTATAGATTTAAGCAATGAAAAACTTTTCTTAATTGGTGTGCAAAACCTTAAACGTCAGTTATAAAAAAAGGGAGGGAGTAAGTGATAAAGAGGACATGTCGTCTAATTTAGGTCCGATAATAGAGAAAGTTCGTCTAATTTTTGTTAACCAACACTACATTACATTGATGTTAATTGGGATTTCAAGAAAAGCAAATAAGGTCGCACACTTCAACCACCATGCTAGACAAATGCGCCAACCTTTTTGAATGTCTTTGAAACTCCTCCTCAAATTTTGTCAAACAATTCATGCTGAACGAAGCTCCTTAATAGAATTTTTGTTTGTGTTTTTGTTAAAAGAATAATACTCTATATCATGTGCATTACGTACCGTTTAATGCATCATGTTGCCATAAACTAATGTACTAATGTTATAAATTAAAACGCTTGTTGCCACAAACTTATTCTTTAACTTGTTTTGTTCCTTACTAAATTGGCATGTAATCTGAAGGTTAAAAGCGGCACACTTCCGAACGAGACCCTCACTCACCAAAAAATGAATTATAAGCCTAGCAATTTCTTTAAACAAAAGTATTTAATATAGAATTTTTTCCAACCGACTGAATATAAATGCAAGGAGGGTAATAATCGTTGGCGTGTGCACGTTAATAATGTGATTAGCGTGGAAAGGTTAATGGCGGTAGCATGGCATGGCATGGGGACGTTGAAGAGACGGAGTAAACTTCTGTCGTGTACACAATTCCGACCATCTATTAAATCCACTTTCAGGAGAAAGGTATACGATCCTTGGTTCACTTGCACAGCAACACTCGGCCTTTTGAATTATTCTACCAAAGGACATGGCAAAGAGACTGGAAAGATGACCACTAACCAAATTGTTATCTGTATCATGTATTACTGCAACAAAATCAAGTAGTATCAGAGAGAGAGAGAGAGAGAGATGAAACATTAAACGTCTGTTGACTGCAAATAGTGGGGAACTACTCGTCAACAAACTAATTGTACTTGCCAGATGCGAAGCGGTCCAGTACAGTAGCAATGTAGCGGTTAAACCTCCTACTGCTTATGGATATTAAGTGTAATGCAGCTTCCATACTAGACATGTAAATGCCAAAAAAGCCAACAATCCCAAAACTCGGTACATGTTTCTTCTTGGAGTAGGCCACATAAAACTGGAAGATCAGAAGACCTATATAAATTTGGTCCAATCTCACCAAAACCAACTTTATTGCCTGTTTAGAGTAAATCCCACCAAGCCTAGGTATATTCTTGGCTCCATATGACTTTTGTTACCAAGCATAGAGCAGAACTTGTACCAGGGAAAAGACCATGCAAAACCCTGCGCATAGGATTTTGGGTAAATCTTCCATCTGTTATGATCTACTACTACAAAGGCTTGCCATGATACCATCCACGCTAGATAGCTTTTATACCATCATAATGAGGACGTACTACACCTAGTATGCTCGCAAGTCAAAACCAGAACACAAGAAAATGAAGTGGGACATAGTAGTACATTAAGGAGCATGTTGAAGAGCATGCAGATGATTTAAAAAAAAAAAAAAAAAAAATTTTCAACCATCGATAATCTGGTCAGAGAATTCAATTAAACGCAACCGCAGAACTCCATCAATATTACGATTTTCAGTTTAAAGCCCTATATCTTGAATCAAAAGGTACCAATGAAAAGCCCTATTTCTTGAATTAAAGCCCTATATCCCACCAACTCCAGTACCAATATATGTGCCACACCAGGAGAGTATCTCCTGTATGTGTTCATTGAAATGAAGCAAGTCTGATACTTTAAAGCTAATCCATTGTTGTTCCTGCATTAGTCTCTTTGCTTTAGAGTAAACTTACTGCAAACTTGACAGTATCAAAAATTCCGAAATTATATATGGAATGACTAAATAGAACATGCAACTCGTAGCTAATACATTATGTTAGCAGAAGATTTTATGAATCATGGACTAAAAACTAAATGTGATTTTGAGATGCATTAGGTGATTTTAATAGCTTGCAGTGAATGCAAATTCGAAATTTCAGAAATTCCTTAGAGACAAACAGCGAGCATGCGAACATGTGAGCTTAAAAATCATTTATGCATCACGAAAAATAGTTCAAACAGATCATTAAAAAGTATTCTATCCTGCACCTTTTTTCCAGTTAAAACATTATTAATGTATCAACCAAAATCTAGGTAATATAACAGCCTGTGCTCCTATTCCTTGTAAAACTAAGCATGTTCCAACTTTTATAGGGGCCATGCAATACTCAACAATGAGAACACAAGCTATGATGCAGATGACCTACCATTTTGTCACTGTAAATGCCGTTAACAAAGTGTTGAAAAGTGAACACACGCTGAGAGTCCAGAGAATGCAGTTCAGTGCCATACTTGTCGAATACATATGCGTAACTGTACTTAGAATGCTTTCATTTCCTAACAAAACAGAGAACAGAACCCCAAAAAAAAAAATCTAATGCAAAAATCTGTAGCTGAACTGCAATGATACCTCTTGATACCCCTGCTCAAGCATTCCCTTTACAATCATCACAGACTAGTAAATCAGGAGAGAGATATGAAACTTAATTCTAAGTAGGATATTATGCAATTATACAAAACCTGTTCTCCAGAAATGAAAACATCTTTGGAAGAAGTTTGTGGAAGGAAAAGCTCAAATTTGTAGCCCATGAATTCCAACAATAAATGTATTCAGTACATATGTCATGTTCCTAGAGAACGACCTTGCATCCTTTATTTTCTCTCCTCACGACAAAGCCAAGAAGATAAAGGATTATAATACTCCAATGACCTAAATTCTTTGATTTTTTGGAAAAGCTCCAACAAATGCTATCCAAAACCTACCAATGTATGGCTCCGTAAAGTTATTAAAACTATCTCTTTGCCTGTGTTAATAAAAAATGGGGGAAGACAATTCCAAGGAAAGAAAATATAGATAGAAATTTGAAAAATGTACTCAAGATCTCTTCCCAAAGAAAACATTCTGTTGAATCTCGAGTCGAATCGGCTAATCCTTCCTATCCTTCCTCCCCCCACTTGGAAAAGGAAAAATATGATTAAAAAGAGTTGGGATAAATTACCCATTAGCAAGAATATTGTGCCACTGAATCAACCTTGTATCCGTTAGAAAAGGCACCATTTAAGTACACATGATGCCCACTGAGTCCAACTCCTCAGCATCCCATTACAGCACAGTTATAGACAAAACTTCCAGACTGCTTTTGGCCAAGCAAGTTCCACTCTGGTGGGCCTTCGCTCGGAACCCATGAATTGACTTCAATGTAGCCTTCACCAACAGTCCTTGGTCCACCAATCACAATAAGTCTGTCACCACATGCCCTAAAAGCCAACCCCCAACCATTCATTGAAACTGCTCGTTCAGGCAGTCTTCCAACTGTAAACCATGCTTTATTATGTTTGTCATACTTCCTTACAGCCATATCAGCATAATCAGCAGCATACAGTTCATCATTTACAACAGCAACCAAAGGTGGCGCTTCAGAAGTAGCAGGTGTCTCAGTATCCCTAGCTGCGCCAGTCCGCACAGGGGACATATTTGGAATTTCAGTCCAAATTCTTCTGTCCAAGTCATATTCCTCGCCACAAGTCAGAAGCTTTGAATCAGGTCCTCCAATACCTCCAATTACATAAAATTTTTTATCCATAAATACCCCGGAACACATCTTCCGTGGTTTATTCATACTTGGAAGTGTATTCCATTGTCCTGTTTCTGAATTATACAGCTCAGCAGAACTAAGGATGTTCCCCTGAGAGTCACAGCCACCAGCTAAAATTGCAATCTCTCCAAGGCTTGCAGAACCAAACAAACATCTAGGTGCATTCATCCTCATTCCAGAAGTCCACGTGTTTGTCAACAAGCTGTAACAGTAAATGACATGAGACAGAACTTCCTTTCCGAAAACAAGAAGTTCAGTGCCAACTGCCAAAGATTCCTTGTCTGAAAACACAAAACACTCATTGGGATTCATTGTTGGTAAATGCATCCAACGGAGACGAGAAGGATCAAATGCTTCCCATTCGAGCAACTGGCATGAAAAATAAACCCAGTGCTCAATGACACCAGACTGCCGCCTCAATCTATAAAGCTCACCACTCCTGACTAGGGAGCGAAAACTCCTATTCAATGATGCAATGGCACCATAGTCTGATCTTGAACAATGAATTAGACAGCTAATAGAGTTGTCCCGGCCAATAGCGTGAATGAGGGAACTCGAATCAGAATTACTTCCAGCATGACGCTGATTAGTGGATTCGTCAGCTGGGGGCATCGAAAGAGCCCCCAAAGTCAGAGCTGTCTCTAAACTTTTATCAGCATCTGATTGCTTAGGAACCTTTGTAGCAACAAGTTCTTCCTGCCCATCATTTTCTAGCGGCCGCTTCCCACGCAGAATGTCAATTTTTTCCCGCCTGTACATGCGAGCCCAGCTACCTTCTTGGTCACAGGTTCTTGGATAGTCCCGAGAAACCAAACAAGACCTGTCTTCTAACATGTCTTCCTTAATCAACCCAGAAAAGGAAGCTTTATGGACCTCCCTTTGATCCAAAAAAACCCTCGTCACCAGGCAGGATCCACTGCAGAAAAAACAGTAACCGAAATCCAAAAAATCCGGGAAATTTGTCAACAGAAACAAACTTGACATAAACAGCCAAAGGACAAAAAGGGGGCAAAAAATGGAAGGTTTAACAGCAGCCTCCAGTTGTCGAACTGGGATAGGAATTGAAGGCCTAAATCAACAGTTCCAGATAATTTTCTTTAATAATTAGGAGCATCGAAGAACACCAGCTTATATTTAAACAGGTATTGCCGAACAGAGTAACGCAAAAATAGAAAAACTGCGACGAAGCTTCTAGTTTTAGGACCCTATCCATAACTTTAGCTGATCCAAGTTCATCTAAAAACGATCTAAACAGATAAACATCCACAAAACTTCGACCTTGAAATCAAAGCTAATTACTTGGCAGCTCAGAGGACCCTCTGAAACAATCAAATTCCGAAATAATTTCAGCATCCCAAAATCAAAATCACCATCAAAATCAAGTCCCTTTTTTTTTTTTTTTTATCAAATGAGCAAAAGGAATAAACCATAGAGCTAAACTTGCAGACACCAGATCTCTTAAATTCAGATCAGGCCCAGAAATCAAAACCACCCAAAGTATTAACTACCAATCAAAGATAATCTTGCATTGTTTTCAATCACATGCAGTCCAATTAGATCTATTTATCAAGCTTCTTTCAGCTAAAAACAGATAGAAATTGACTTAAACAACTAATAGAATGAAAGCACAAACAGCAAACCGACGGGAAAAAAATACAGAAGCACTTAATCGATTAACTAGGATGATAAAGGAAGAAACTTACGGATTGGATAAGAAGGAAGAAAAGGGAAGGAAAGACTCGATTGGAATATGAATACAGAGAGGGAGCTATCCCTCTTCTTTCTTTCTTTCTTTCTTTATCCTGTATGTCTGTATATCTGTAACTGAAAAAAGTCTCTCTGTTTTTTGGGTTTTTTTCCTCTCTTTTTCGCTGTATATTTGTATGTATGTTTGTGGAGTATAAGATATGGAGATGATATATATGTGTTATAAGTGCAGTTTCAGTTGTTGGCGTTCTGGCTTGGCTTTCTCTTGAGACTGATTCTCCCTTCTCTCACTGCAAATTTAAGACAGGCTTTGGCTTAGTAGGCTTGGGGCATAATCTTGCACTTTGGACTTTGGAGGACCCCCTTTATCTCTCTCTCTCTCTCTCTTCATCTTCTCTCTTTCTCACTCCCTTCTTCCCATTTCTTTCTTTCCATCTTCTCTCTTCTCTCTCTCTCCCTCTCTCTCTCCTCCGGTTTTACTTTTGGTGTTAGTGTCAAACTTTTATTTACAGGTAGTTAAAAATTAAAACATCCAGACATATTGGTGCATAACTAACTGTACACAGATATATGTTTCCACGTATATCCCTTTTATCATCAAGACAAAAAAAGACTATGGCCGGAAATAAAACTGTGCTTTAAAATTTCTAATCTAGTCTCAAAACTATTTTAAGATCTCCATGTAATCTAGTCCCTAAACTATTTCTTGTTTGGGATATAAGAAATAAGAAGCGGGAGGAGGGGGGGGGGGGGGGGGAGAAGAAGGGGGGAGCTCAAACTCTTGTTTTAAGATGACGAACAAATACTACTATTTATCTTATGCATCTTGTTATAACAACAGTGATTTTACCGTTTTGATTATTTCTCTCCTAACATCGCATCATATAAAAAGCTCCTACACGATGATATTACTGTCAAAATATTCTTTCAAATAAAAGCTTTCCATATGATGATGTTGTCAAAATATTCTTTCACCTTTTGTTAGATGGGCATGTTTGCATTTTTTTTTTTTTTACTTTTTTGTCATACTTGTTCAAGATAATTATATTTGGAATTAAGGACCTGCAAAGTATCCTTTCTTTTTTTTTTAAAAAAAAAAACGAATGACCAATATAGCGTATGTAGAATTACGTGAATATCAACGTGTCAAAAGGATTATTGGAATGCCAAATGAGAAGATTCGTGGATTAGTATTTCCATATGTGAGTAATTATCATGAAACGTGCAAGATGAGTACAATTTTGTGCTATTTGGGTTTCTCTCGACTTTAACTTATCCATTCAAAACGGGAAAAGGTTAGGGAGAGTGTTTGGATAGATAAATTACATCGCATCATGACTTGTCCTTTTATCTCGTATATATTACATCGCATCATAAAAAGTGTTACAGTAATTATTTCAAATAATACTCCATCCAATTTCAAACGCAACATAGTTGGGAATAAAGCAAGCAAGAACGTGTAGAAGTATTTGACAAGAAAAATTATTTGTTTGAGAGGAAATATTATTGGAATTTGATTAGCGCGAACTAACAAAACCAGCAAACGAAACCATTTATAATTTCATTTCTTAAAAAGGGTGTAATTGGTTATTTCTTGTAAACAGATGAAAAAGGACATGTACCTTAAATTGTCTTTGCAACCTAGGTTCCAATACATTTCATTTCGAAAGTTGTCAAGTCTATGTGGATAAGTTGTTATGTCTACCATCCTAACCTCGCAGTTGTCAATTCTGAGCCCCTACATCATCATTTTTTTCCCCTAGAATTTCGTACTACTTTTTTCTTTTAACAAACAGAAGACAGGTCAAATGTAATTTTTTTTTTCCCCTCCTGCGTTCTGCTAAAGGATGAAAGAAGCTAAAAATCACCAGGTCGCACTTTGTTTTGGGAGGTTCTCTATTAAATTGCAGTCTCAGTCAAGTTTGGCCCAAGCACAAGATGCATTGAGTTACATCTCGAATTGAAAAGCACAAGATTTGACAAAACAAGAAAAAGAAACCCAAAAAAAAAAAAAAAAAAATCAATGAATGATTCCTTATATTAGGCAGCAAATGCCATTGCTTGTGAACGCAGAAAGTGTGCTAATGTTGAAATTTAAAGCACAGTTTGAAGATAAGGCCAGACAAAATTAGCCAACAATTGTAGAAAAGTATCATTTGACACCAAATAGCGATCGATGATTATACCGCGTGTATTCAACAAAAAAGAAGGCTCGGCTCTTAACAGTTTTTTTTTTTTTTCTCCTTCTTCTTCTTCTTCTTCTTCTTTTTTTTTTTTTTTTTCTCTATTTCATACTGGCAGCAAAAAAAAAAAAGAAGATTGAGAATGAAAAATACGCAGCAGAGAGAAAGAAGGGAAGTAAGAAGACGTGTGTAAATTTGCAGGGTGGATAGATTCTGAACAATCATTTCATCTTTTTTAATTAGACACAAACAACTTTATTCTATAGGTTAAGGGATAGGGTGGTCGGCTTCAAACTTTCTTGCCTATCACCTTGAAAAATAATCATCACATTCGCCTAACCAATGCCTCTCTTCTCTTCTTTTCTTTTCTTTTCTTTTCAAAGAAATCACGAGGGCCATTAAACTAAAACCCAACCAACCTACTTCTTGTATATCTGGTCCAAGTCATCCAGACACGGGTCAATCACAAAAAGGAAAGGAGCCATTAAGCAAATGTGTTTTAATTTGGTCATCCCTGATTAATTAAGATTGACCATTGATGTGATCACGTTTTTTTGTACTATTAGGCGCCCATAATCCAAAAGCCAACTCCTTTCAATTCCCAACTTTAGCCTTTTGATCCCTAACCACGGTAATCCATTCGCCATTTCTGTTCTGTTCAACATTATTAATCTGTGGACGCCACCTTCTTCCTTCTTCTCTCTTTTAATTCGTGCCAGCAGCCTCCTCCTCCTCCTAATTTCTTTTCCCTTTTTTTTTTTTGGCCCTTTTTCCTGTGGAGAGACACAAAAGCTGACCAGATGTCCTTCGCACTAATTAAATTAACTTATCAATTCTTAAGATTTTATGGACACTGGTAATCCGTAGGAGTATGATGTATGTCGTTATCTGAATGTGAAAATGACCATTATCCAGCTCTAATCTAATCTTTTACAATCACCAAACAAGCAAGGGATGGTGACGGTGACGGTATGGTGGTATACATACAATACATATATGTATATATATATATCTGCCAATCAAAAGATTTCTGTAATTATTTTACATGTTCGTAAAATGGTCTTTTCTGTAGCAGTGGTCACACCAACCCATGCCGTGTCTTACATAGTTAGTTACATTAGTCTGATCCAGCAGCTCCACCTGAGCCTGAGCGATTAATCTTCTTCCCAGCTGCAGATTTTGACCATATCTAAAGACATGCCTTTTGCTAATATATATTATATTTTTATAAAATAAATGTGCCCATAAAATAACAAAGAAATATAATTGTGGGGGGGGGGCGTGTGCAAGTGTTTTTTTTTTTTTTTTTTCCTTTTGTTTGACTTGGCCCCACCAATAGTCTATAGAGAGCCGTTCAAAGGCAAAACATCAGCTGCATGATATTCCTATCAACGCAGCCCTAAGTCTAATGTTGATCCTCGCCAAACTCACCCCCCCCCCCCCCCGGGGGGCCAAAAAAAGAAAAAGGGGGGAAAAAAACCGTTTTTTTCCTCCCCAATCCCTCCATATGTGGTTTCTTTATCTTGAATTCCCCTATCAAAGTTGAGGGTTGAGGTCCGAGAAACAAAAAGAAGAGAAAAAAGCACATGAAGTAGCCAGTCATTCGTCGGTTTTGGCAAGCGCCTAATTAACAGAGATGATGGATGGCTACCACTTCCCAACTCTGGATTTTTTTTTTTCCCATCATTTTCCCATTCAAGAAGAAGATAAAAGGAGGTGGGTAGAATTCATATTCCAATTTCCAAATCAAGTATGAAACTTTTGACTGTCTTATCGCCCTTCTCAATTCTCATTCCCATCCTCATGCAGATGCAGGGGTAATTTGAGGGAATTGGAAGCCAAACAAAAAAACAAAAACATGGGTTGGTGGTGCATCGGGACCGTGGACCTTGGTTTTTGGCATTTGATGTACTTGACCAATTGCGTGTACGACTCGACTCGACGGCGTCGTGCAATCGTGTAGTGCAGCAGTTGTTGTACTGTACCACAAAATTCTGCCAGCTCGAAACCAACGCCTTTGAGGAACATCACGTCTGCTTGCTGACCAAAGCCAAAAAGCAAAGAAACGGTAAAAGGGACAGAGTCGTCCTCTCCTCTCCTCTCCTGGTGACGACTCGCTCGCGCGGGCGCGCCAACCGCTTGCGATTTACGATCCCCTCCCATTTCCAGTCTTTTGTTGCATTTTTGCACAGCTGCAAAAATGCTGGAGTCGTACGCACGTGCCAGGGAAATCGGATTTTTTTGGGGGGCCAAAGACACTGCTGCCTTCGATCCACGTGGGAACCCCTCTGCACGAACATGTGTCCAAAAAGCACTATATCTTTTCTCTCTCTCTCTCTCTCTCTCTCTCTCTTTTTTTTTTGTTCCTCTACCGAAACTGTTGGTGCTAAATTGTAAGTATTAATTGTAAGTATTGTGCGCGTAATTTCTTGCAACATTTTTAATCCTCCAAAATCAATAAATACTAAAAGTTACTTACAAATAAAAATTTTAACAACTATCACTAATTATAATCAAAATTTTTCTCTGTAATCGATCCCACTTTCCATCACTTTGTTTTCTCTACACAACTTTCTCTCTAGACTATATATTCAGACAAGCAAATTATATTAACATTAGTTTTTTTTTGGCTTGTAACAGAATTGAAAGTTATGTGCCATCAATTTCTTCCGGTGATGTTTCAGAACTAATTAAATGGTGATTTGATACAGCAGAAAAATTAAAGTTAGTAGTTGTAATTGTCCCAAAACATTAATATTATTATTAATACCGTCTACTATGAATTAATGTGAGTCAAAATCTATGAACCGCCAAACTCGAATGAAAGTTCAATTTCTAGAAATTTCAGTCAAACCATATAATTCGGTTGCATTGAAACAATAATAATATATAAATGCAGAGGCAGTAATCCTGATCCTGATTAAATAAATGCGTTCTAACCAAACGGGTCAATGAGGATGGGAATGACTAACGAGGAGGAGTGGGTTAGCTTAACTTTATGGGAAGCAGTGATTTGTTCTAAACTAGTACATAATTAAGTAATTAAGGTAATCCCTCCCCCCTTTTTCCTCTCAAAACAGTTTTTATTTTTTTTTTTAAAAAGAAAGAAAGAAAGAAAGAAAATGAAGAAGATAAGTACGATGAGTAAGAGGGTCGCATGTGTGAGAATGTCCGCCCCCTGCCGGCCTTTGCTTCCGTGTTTGCTTCGATAATTTATCCCCCCCCCCCCCTACCCAAAAAAGATAAAAGAGAAAGAGAAATGACACTTTATTCTTTTTCATTTCTTTTAATTTTCCCGGTAATAAGAGAGCTTTATGCTTGCGTCCAGAATTTTGCTGCCAGCCATTAGCAAAATTCTTCACGACAGATCGATCTTTGAAAATTTCGTCCTGTGTTTATTGACAGATCGATTAGCGAGACCTTTAACTTTTGCTCATAGGGAGGGCCAAAAGATAAGCTCAAAACGTACATTTTATTTAATTTATATCCATGGATCGATGTAGCTTTATAAGTTAATCAACGCTAATTAAAATGATATGATCAAACACATGGCAAGACCAGTCCTGAGAAGGAAAAGCACATCCGCGCTGATTTTCATTCTTGAGAACTAGCCAGTGCATCATATCATGATTGGAATCTGGGAAATTTTGAGCAAAATGGTAAACAGGGGCACGTGCAGACATATCATCTTTCGGGGCATATGAAATGGAATAGAATATTAAAGCGATAATTACGATGATTATATAAATAAAATCTGTGAGGGTACAATAATAATAAACAAACTTGAAAACCAAGCAACTCCACTACTACTCCATGCTCTATGCTCCATGCACTATACATACATACATATATATATATATATAATATATATTATGTATCCCAACCCACAAAAAGATGCTACTGGTGGCGTGCACTAACCCACTTCATAATACTCGAGGCACTAATTTCTCCAATCTTATCCATCCACGTGTCCACCACTTGTCTAAAGACGTGTGGTCATGTGAAGCATTATTGGATGGTGAGAAAGTTGTTCTCTCGTTTATTATATATACATGTGGACTCTGCTTAACCCTCGTCTCAATTAATCTCAAACAAACACGCACTACACCACAATTTATGTAGTACACTACAAATACTATTTGCTAAGGTTAATGTTGATTGACTTGAATGATCCGCCCTTTGACTTCCACTCATGCTGCACAATGCATCATTTATTTTTTTTTTAGTTCTCTCTCTCTCTCTCTCTCTATATACATATATATACATATATATACACACATACATGTGTTACATGATCTGAATTCTCTCTATATAACGTTTCTGTGAACAAAACAAAACGTCTGTGAGTTGCCCTTGATTTAAAATGTTGAGCATAGGAAGTACACAATTTTGTTGGATAATCATCTCTCGAGTGCGATAGATTTTCGTTGCGTTGCATCTGATAAAAAAAGGTATGGCCGGCCGGTCTAGTACGCAGTAGTGAAACAAAAAACCAAGCAGCTAGCTAGGCTGCAACAGGAAACTTATTCAAATTAGTACGTACCTAATTGTGTGCTTTGTACAAGCATATATAAAAGAATTAATTAAACTGCACTAGAAATCGATCCTAACAATAATAATATTCTTCATCGACAGCAAGAGCAGTACACGTAATTAGTAAAAAGGCTAATTAAAGTCACCGACGTCAAGCAGTCTTAAATTCTCAACACAGTAATATATCCAGTTCGTTGCTCTTGAGGGCCTCTGTCAACTGGAGGCGCCATGTTATATATAATAGTTCTAACGGTAATCCAAATGCATGGTTGGCGATCGATCTATACAAAACAAAGTGAATTCTAGGATAGGAGTAAAATTCAAGAGGGTAAATCCCACTCTGTCTGCGGCCTTTTGTCTGCATACAAGTAAAAGTTGATCCTGCAACAACAAAAATTCAAGTTGGCCATTAATGGTGGTTGGAGTTACGCAATCTTATGGATTACAACTCGAACGTCGACAAGCTGCCAATAATAATGTTCATTTGCAGCACGCACGCAATCTACAAAGCAAAGAGATGGCGGGCGAGATGGGTTAATTTCTTTCCTATACGGATTGGTGCTACTAGTTTATTTACTAATTTAGCAGCATTGTATCATAAAGTACGTTGCATTGCATTTGCTTGTGGAAGTTAAAAAAAAAAAAACCCTAGCTAGTGCGTGGCAAACGGCGACACATTGCTGGTGAGCTAGTTCCTAACACTATCGAAGTCTTTTTGTCTTGCTCTTGCGGCTCTAAAGTCAATTTAATTAATCACCACTCGATCATCATTTTCCTTAGGAAAATATTATTATTATTAGTTCTAAGACTGCATTTGTCGCTGATCAGTTATCTTGATCGGCATTGGCTATATATGTAGCAGCCTAACTAAGATGCGATTTTAGTACTATGAGAAAGAGAAGGGGAATCACGGTCGTACTAGCTGGATGATCATCTGATACTTCGTAGGTGCAAATTTGAGCCGTCGACCGACTAGAATGGTAAAATTCTTGTCAGTAAAATTGCTGCTGAATGATTAATTTGAGTTCAAGTGAAAGATTGTCGACGGAGCATTTCTTGAATGATTTGTGTTGTAAAACCTAACACCTGAGCATGCATGAGGGGAAGGCGAGCTTGATGACCGACTGGCTTATAATAAATCTGATTTTTCTTTCTTCTTTTTTTTTTTTTTTTTTGGGGTTGGGGGGTTGGGGGAGGAGGAGGAGGAGGAGGAGGAGGGCTTCTGTCACTATTATTAAATTCGTTTTCGTGTAATAATTTGCTTGCGTCGGTTGATGGTGTTATCTGTTGCTTGGTTTGGTGTGAGAAAGAAGGGAAGAAGAAAATGAGGTGTGGCTGTCCATGTGACATGTATGGGGTTTACATGACATGGATTGCATTTGTTGGTTTGGGATTAGTATCTGTCAAGGTCCCACTTGTAACAAATAAAGTTTCTGTGTTTAGGACCAAATTAAAATTCTTTGAGAGATACAGAAACAAATCAATAATATTTGTTGTGTTATATATATATATATATACACACACACACACACTGAGTATATATACCACATGCATGCTTTCCTTTGACAAAGTAATTAATCCTTCTTTTATTTTTATTTTTTTGACAAATTAATTCTTCAAATCGAGGTAATTACTATACCCATCAAATTAGAGAAGGCCTTTATTGAATTGCATTTCTATAGCTAATACCCCATCATCAAACTCAAGTATATATTTACGTCTGTTTTCTCTTTTTAACTTTTTGGCTAGGATCAATATTCATATTCGTGTGTGGCGTGGGCGGAATTAATTGGCTACCAGGTAAACAATACTCGACACGCTTTGCTGGGGGTGTTTACCCCATTTTTTAGAGTTCAAGAACAAGGGAGTCAAGTGTATAGGAGAATTCAACCCACGCTTCACTTGATGATTAAAAACATTGAACCTTTTACTAGTAATAATTACTATCATTAGTCACGACGTGGATACACTTTTCAATAACTAATTAGAGTTAGAGCTCTTGCTCTTAATGTAATGTAAGACTAAATACTACTACTCAATATAAATCTACGACAGCATGGACACGAGAATTCTAACTTTTATATCTAATGATTGTTAGGGTGCCCATTAAATTCCGGTGGTTAACCTTGAAATAATAATAGTAATAAAGAAGTATTTCTTGTTTTCTCTTGCATGATAATTGTTGGGTTTGAGTTTTATCGAACGGTTGGTTGATCATTGATGGGATAAAATCCAAATCAAACAAAATAAATGTTTTTTTTGTGTGGAATAAAATCCAAACTCAACAATAATCTCCATCTTCTCGATCTGATCCGAAGACAGATGATTTAATCCCTCGCAAAACAATTTGGTTAGGCAAGTGTCAATTTTCAGGGCTTAACTTAAGTAATCGTCCCTAGCTCATCCCCTTTTCAAATTAAAAAAAAGGAAGTCTTCCCTCCCGTCCAATTCATCTCCTATCTCCATCCCAAGCACTGTTGTTGAAAGCCTCAAACCCTCGAAAGAATTCTCCAGTCTTGAGAGATAATAAAGTAAGGGAGGCATGAAATCCGTGAATTTCGCCAAACCAAGCAAAGAGACTATTATTACGATCACAAACCCCAAACTCTACGAGGCCATTTAAGCGGCCACATACATGAAAACGACGTTACCCCATTTGATTTGAAGACTTTGCCTAAAGATATTTCATTCTGCTGATTAAAAGCATCTTTAATTCTTAAGCTCTTGGTGTCTTTTTCCAGTCCATCTAATTGGCCATCACCCCCCAAAACAATAAAAAGCCATTTTACCTCCATGGCCTCTCTCTCTCTCTCTCTAATAGGACCCAATTAATGACGTGACTTGGAACATTGCCCATCACATTTCCACTATGGCCAATCATCAAAGTCCCAATCAAACCCACCTCCCCTAAAGTCCTTGCAATATATTAAAAAAGTGGGAGATTCCCCCCACCTTCTAGTCTCTCAAATCATCCACCTCCCTTAATTATGCCTCCGATTTTAATTTTAATGGCGAATCTAATGTTGTATTATAGTTGAGAGTTAGCTATAATATGATGGGCTGATGTGAATTGATCTTGATGGCGCTTGGTGGTCAGCAGAGAATAATGCATTTTAGTTTATTCTCCTGCATTTTGTCATGTCAATCAGGAATATGCATATATATATATATATATATATATATATATATATATATATGAAATTATTATGAGAGGACATCCATCTAGCTATGCATGAGTGAGCTAAGCTGGATTGCATGTGATTAAAGTTGTGCTGCAAGATTTGAAGTGTCGCATAGTTTAGGAGTTCAACTAAATAAATAAACAAGTTTATAACGAATCCAGAAGGCATCCGAACTCTCCAATAACAGGCTCCGTTTGGATTAACTGTTTTTTTGGGTTGTTTTTCAAAAATAGCACTGTAACATTTCGTTTTTGAAATACAAGTCCGTTTGGATTACTTGTTTTTGGGGTTGTTTTTCAAAAGCTATATGAAAAACTTATCCATTTTACAAAAACAACTAAGTTGGGTGTTCCGCAATCGCATTGGACACTTTTGGAAAGCTCAATCACATAGTCTCACGCCCATTAATGCCTGGAGCTAGGTTATGATATAGTATTGCAAAACTTCAAGCTCATTATTTGTACAAGAGGTTTCTTTAATTTATAGTACGCTGTAACAAAATCTGCGTAAGCTTATTACTGGATATATAGAAACTACATCTCTGGGGTATCCGAAATCTTTCTTTCGTCATTTCTTCTTCACCATCAACGACAAATTTATAAACTTCAATGGCTGGAACTGATCAGCTTCATATTCTAAGCCCTAATAGCAGTACAGCAGTTGGAATCCCCCTCATTGCTCATTGTGCAAGTTAAAATTATTGGAACATGATGTCTATAATTTTGTTTTTGAGCGAACAGATAGTTCCAAACGCTTGAGTTGGACAAACTGCCAACTTAAAATTGGCCGTTAGTTGATTAATTCTTTTAACTCTGAGTTTCAAATCTCCACCAAAATGAACGTACTTTACGTGATTCTACCAAGTTTAGAGGACAGAATTTTGGAATTTCCGGAAACAAAAGTACAAATAATAGTTTGAAGAATTAGAATCTGGTTCTGAAAGAATATGTCGCCATTTGTTTTTTTTTTTTTTCCTTTCATGTGTCTGTATCAAATATGAAATTCACTTTCCATCATGTTTAGTTGTCCTCCCGCTGTATTCGCTCTAGTAACTGGAAAAAAGGGTAGTCCAATCATGGCCTCTTTTAGCACCGGAAAGGTGGCATATACCCGAGAAATGCCCCAACTACACGCAATGCCTTCAAGCCAGGATATCTAATCTAATCGTAGCAGAGATGCCAGCAGCAGAACATATATATACATAGCAATTTCCAGGGAGCCCACGATAAGAGGATCCTTCCTTTTTCTCGCATCTTGTCCAGCGATGTCGTACGTCCTACAAAAAAAAAGCAGTAGTATTTTTGTGTTATCCAGAATGTAGTTTCCCTCGTTCGCAGATGACCTATGCATCTTCCTGTGATTTATCCGTCTAAAATTTTGCACGAAAATTAAATTCAAATTTTTTTTGCAATTATGTTATGTTCTGATATCTATATGTTAGCGTACAAAAAAAGATTAATCAGTATGTTATATACATATATATGTATATAGGGGGTAATTTATCAACCTTTTGCAGACAGAGGAGGAATTGTTGGTCAAGCGAGCGGCAATCTCGAAATGAACTTCCGTTCCATGGGGGATCGGATACGATGATGACAAAAGAATGATTGAATATTGTAGGCTCGTGGCTGCGACCTATTAACCTTTTGGAGGAAAGTTATGAGGAGCAGAAAAATCATTGCTACGTATAGGGGCGGTAGTCCAATATGATCATCTTTGAAAAATGAAATCTTGCACGCACTTTCCTTAAATGGTGGACCTTTATAGCATTGTGGGTACAAAGATTGCCAGCTCCCAGGAGATGAGTCTTTAACTCCTAACGGGTGACTATTAAGACTTTTATGATTTGATTTTTCAACAAATTTGAAATGTTGAGTTACAATTAGTCTCGTGAGGACCACTTAACGCTTTCAATCAAGATTGCTGTCAATCTAGTTTACCGGTGGAGGATGATTGATTCCTTTTCTTGCTTCTACAATGCAGCTTGCAAGCAGCCAGCTCCAGCTGCGCCCGACTTCTTTATTCTCTCCAACCTCGGCTAAAGCTTGTGTCGTCGTGCTCCAGTTACCACGCTTTAAGAGCCCAACATTCTTTAATAAATGGGCCAAAATTAGCTGCGGTTCCCGGTAAACACTCAGTGGAGCGAAGCATGAGATCTCAAGTCAAGTGGGCCTCTGTCCTTAATAGATTGGGCTTTGGATGGGAACTATATTTTAAAACTTTATTCGTTTGCATGCATTAAAAATATATCTTTGTATCTTTCTAATTACATATTTTTCTTATCTCGGGTCGGGTATATATCTCCCCGGGTCCTTCCTCACCTACTAAAATTAAAAATATATATATAAAAAAAAAGAAAAAATAGTACAGTAGCGAAAAACTTTGTCCCCTAATTCTGTAAAGCAGTCTGTAGGGTGTAGATAAATTTACACAGAGCTGAAAATTGGTAGAAAATCAGGCGCCAAGGTCAACTGTCCACCGAGATGGGAAGATGCAAAAGGGTGAAGGAGTTGATCCCTCTTGTCTCCTGTGCATTTCTTCTCTGCTGGGGCTTCAATGATGCCTTTGCTGCAGAACCCCAGATGGGTTCCGCCCGTGTTGTCTTTCAGGTTCAAACTTTAACCCCTGTATAAGCCTTGTACCTTCAAAGACAGCAACTTTATTTTTATGTGTTCCGTATTCAAATGTGAAATGTAGATTCATTCACCGTAGATTCTTGATGAAATGTTGATTTCCAGCTCTTTGGGAATATCAAGTTAGTTAAGTGATGTATTGTGCCGAATTTTCGCGACACTCGGATCGAGATTCAATTTTTAGTTCGCGTTTTCTTTGGTATGATTGTCTAATCCTCGTACTGGGAATAATTGAGTTCATTTATAGCTTGATGAATAGATTGGATTTGTTGCATGTTGATGCCATGCCTCATTCTAGAAGAGTAACAAAAATAATCATATATTAATGGTTTTGATGAATTTCAAGAGAGATTTTTTTTTTTTTTTTTTTTTTTTAGGCAGAGCTTAGTGGGTTTGTGATATTCGCCAAAAATGGAAAACAAGGAAATTCCTTTGCTTCTTCTGTATTACATGGAGTTTGAGAAGTTTTGGATTAAGTTGATCGAGTATTTTAGAGTTACAAAATTCGTGTTTCTCCATTTGCATTAAATTCATTGTCTTACTTATCATTTCTGACTCCCCAATTCTATGCTCAACAGCCTCTTTCCAAATAAGAAAGGAAAGGATGAAAAAAGAGATGGAAAAGAAAAGGAATGCCTGAGAAGAGGAATTCTTTCTATGGGAAGGTAATGGTTTTCCACAATGTAATCATGTTGGATGGTCAGTGGCAAACTTTGCTTGGGGAAATATGGATGTTGGCATGAAATTTGATATACAAAATTAGATGCTTAAGTTGTTTTGGTATTGCTGTTCTAATCTAAGAAAAAAAACATGGTTTAGCCTTGAGAGTTTTTGTTTTTAACCATTGTTTACTCTATACTTACTCTTTCGCATATTGCCTCCTTGTAATATGCTGTTCTGCTCCATCCATCTGATCTAATTGAATTCATTTACATGGAAAGTTAGAGCTCTTAACCATGATCAGAAACATTTGAAGTGGACTAAAGATCTCTTAAGAGCAGTAGGATCTTTCAGTACAGTAGAACAAAACTCATGCATACATCTCTTCTTTTGGTACTGCACATCAAATGTATGTGATACTGTGCAAAGAGAAAATTATAGCTTTTTTATGACTTAACAAAATGCTGAAAATACACGTATGCTTGTCTAGTAATTGCCTTGGAATGCCACCTCTGATGACAGTGGTTGCAAACTCTAATTGTATATATGAACTCATATATTTGCCTAAATGTCTTCTAGTCTTCTTGCGTAGGTATTCTGATCCTGACAGTGCTCAATCCTCATTTTCTGTACTCCTTGGAGATGCACCTCACCTTGATGGCCAAGTATGCCAGCGGAATCTCTCGTCCTTCAAATTTTGTTATTCACACCACTCAGTTATGTCACATGATCACTAACCTCGTTTACTCACCTTCAGTATGCAATATTCGGGAAACTTACTAAAGGTGACGAAACATTAAGAAAGCTTGAGCAACTCCCTACTAAGAAGGAAGGGATTTTTGTAATGGTATGATTCGTAGTTCATCATTTTTCCAGTTCTAGATGTTTAGGATAATTGCACTTGCTTAGAACAGTGAGCTAAAGTTTGCTTATAACTGGATGATATTTTACGTTGAAATGCTGAGGCAGAGGGTGGAAGGGGGATGAAGGTTTATCTTCATTCTGTCCTTGACATGAGATTGACCAACTGGGCCATCAGCAACCTTTGTGTCTGTGATCAACTAAGTATACTTACTGGGATAGCTTCTTTTCACTGTATTGCTTACACGTCTTGCATAATGAAGGCATATAAATGCATATAGGTGGGTCGATTGCGTTCTTCTAAGTTGGTTTTGGCTGTGGCTTCAGTGCTTTGGAGTATTTAAATACATGCTTGTTTGGTTAGTCGCCGTCTAGGCTAAATGTTTGAACTGTCAACCCACTAATTTTTCATCTATGATCACTAAATGCATGAAAGTTCTGGAGTCTTTCTGTACTTGTATGTGTGGATCCATAATGACTTTATGCCTTCATATTTGGTTGCACAATACTTCTTGGTCTTTTCTGTTTGTAAAAACCAAAAGCCTCGTTTTCAATACTTGTCATCTCTAGTTGCTTTGTGTATGTAACTAATGTGTTCCACTATGAAACTTTTCAGCCTACTGAACGCATCACCATCTTGTCATCATATTATTATGGTAAGACTTTGGTATTCTCTGCAGATTTGTATGCATTATAGCTGATATATATCCCAAAATTGGCTTGAACTGTCAAACTTACTGGGTGTGAGTGCAGGAAATAGCACTTGGAATGTTGGCAAATATTTGTCTCTCCCACATTGCAATATTTAGATGCAGATTTTTTCTTTTAAGGGCAATATTGTTTTTGCTGAGTTTCTGTTCAAGCTGAGTACTCTCCTACGGGCATCAGCTATTTACCTTAGATTTCAGCTTGTTGGTTAAGCAAATCACTTTGTAGCACGAAACGAATACACAGCAAGCTACATTTTTGTTATAAAAGTTATCAGTTGGAAAGGATGAACTGTCTCTGTGCGCATTATATATGCCGAACATTCACATGAAACTTATATTCTATGACTGTAGCCAAAATATTATATTTGGAAAAAAATTGTTTCTTTAATAATGTTTTGACTGTCTGTCGGACTTCAAGTGTCCAGTAATTCAAATAAGAATACAAGAATCTTTTTCAAATGATTTTTTTTTTAATGCGTTAGATGTCAACTGTCTTGGTGTTCTGGAAACAGTAAAAGAAATTTCCTGCTTCATTGATTGTTTAACTCTTTCATGTAGTTGTTCCTAGTATTGCAAAATGGAACAAAAATAAGATGACCACATTCCTGAAAGAATTAATTAAAAAAGGGCTCAAATTGTCTCTATATCTAGCTTCATAAGAATCAATGTATGTCTATTTTGTTTACTTAATGCAAATTATTTTCTCATTAATTTGTTCATAATGTGATTGTTGGTGATGAATTGTTAAAAATGGTACTGGAGCAAAACATAAATCTTATGAGAGCTGAATAGCCATAACGTAAATTTTCCATTTTGATCTATCAGCCTACTATTGTAAGTTTGTAACCTAATTGCAGACAAAATTTTTTTTTTTATTTCAACTAATCAGTTACCTTTTGTCCTTTTTTTTTTTAAATCATCATCAGCCTTCTCTCCTTCAATATTGCAATATTGTTACTTGGTCATTTCATTTATCTTTAGACACCGAGATGGAAATATGTGAACAAGATAGGTCATTGTTGAAACGGAGGCTTGCTGCATCTGCTATCGAAATTGAGAGACAGGTATCCGCTCTACAAAATTTTACACAAGTCAACATGCATGTCAAAATCTACTCCTCAACGAGGATTTAATTAACATTGCAGAGAATGAAATGCTTTCCTTAACCGAGAAAAAATGAAGTCAGTCCAGTGACACTCATCTGTAAGTTTTCTTCTGCTATTTGATCAATGTAAAATATCTTTTGTACTTGCTGTGTGTTAAGCTTAAGTTTCAAAAGGTTCCTATGAGTATCCTAGTCCCATCAGGATGGTGCTAACAAGCAATCAACAGGTGCAGATACAATGAAATTTTATGTTGCACATCAGCAGGCATCTCATATGATATCTGAATGATAAAGAAGCAACTAGCTAGCATGCTTGAATTTACAACTTCTTGTGGTCTCTGACTTTGCTGATAAAATATCAGTTTCATCTGTATATATGCATTTAATGTGTGGCATACACCTTGTCCACGTTCTGTAAATTTGTCTGCAGAGTCCTACCTTATGCTTCCTCTGACAGACTCATGTGAAGCACATGTCGGGCAGACATGAATAGAACTTAAGTGTCTGAAATGTGGCACCAATGGATTGACTAAAGTTCTTGCAGTTTTGCAGTGGATACATCTCCATTACATTAATATCATGTCTTCAGTGTTTAATTGACAATGGTAGTCTTACTCTCTCAGTATTAGTGTTGCATGGTTCTGAAATGTGTGGAGTTGTTTCAACTGAGGGCAGGGAGGGAAAACTGCAAGACCTAGACTTGACAAAATAAAATTTTGTTGGATGTCTCAATATAATGGGTTGAGATGTCTGTCATTGGTCATGCTTTGTCCCACTGAGAGGATGGATTTCATGTCTCCCTACTGTGTTTGTAGCCTGGGGTGCAAGGTCTCAAGTCATAAAATAAATTGTTGTTTCTCAAAAAGTAACTTCATCAGTGATCCTTGAACCTTATGCCTGGCCTTTGGCTGACCACTATCTCTCCAATCTTGGTTGCACATAAAGTGCAAGGCGACAAGCTGAAGCTGTTGGACTGGTGACTTGGTGGTCTACTGATTGAAATCTAAAATTTTTATTGGGATGTTTATTATACTTACACTATGCATAAAAAGAAACCAGAGATAAATACGCCGGGGGTAAAACTTGAAGTGCTTCTAATTGTTAGTCCAATCTAACTGAATCAAATGGTGCTCTTATTCATCTATATGGTTGTGCCCTTGCATGACCTATACCCTGGTTTTTGGACAAGTGGTGATATAACTTGTCAAAGGACTCTCATTTCTTTTGGAATGCCATGCTTATTTGATTAGGCATTCTTGAGTGAATTAGCTGTAAGCCATCTTTGTTTGCTTAGATGGTAATTAACAGGTACAAGTTGCAGGCATTGGTCAATGGAAAGAGATCTAGATAACTGTTGTAATATTTCTTGATCAGCTAGTTATATTAGGATATTGGAGATTGACTAGAGGTAGTATGAGAAAGAGAATCAGATAAAATAGCTTCTGTAGGGCCCTTTGCCACCCTTGCTGCTCCTCTGTGTTGCTCTTAACAAATCATGGTCATAGTGCAACTCAGTTAAGAGGTTAATGTTCTTGATGAATTTGGATGATAAGATATTGTTGACGTGTGGTTACTTGTGTTCCAGGAGGAAAGCTGAAAGCCCTGATGCGGTGGATAATCAGAAAGCTATCCGCGAGAAGGTATTCGAATCTGATGATCAAGATGTAGGGGGAGAGGGAATGAAGCATAACCTAGAAGACCTTGGAGCTGACTGGCTTTGGAACGAACAAATACCGAATTTTTTCTTCTGTAATTAGAACTTTTAACTGGTTAATATGCTTTTTCACTCAAGGGATGCTATTTGGCCTGTTGAGAGACGATTGTCGTCACAGGAAGGTTTCAATATTCGTGACCTACTAACCTTGATGCATGATTAATTTCACAGAAATTTTCCGCAGAGAGTAGGGTGCTAGAAGGTGCCTTCCCGGAGAATGTGATTGAGCTTTTTCCGTTCCACACACATCCCTGAAATATGCGATGGTGAGATGTATACTATAGCAGCATGTGGTGCCTTGTCTTAGAAAGCGAGTTCAGCTTTGTCTTCATCGCTGGGAAGAAAATTATTGTTTCGAAAAGTGAGTGCAGTACGTCGATCAAGTTGCACAGTACTGTAACTATCTGTCACACAGTGTGGAAGATCTCAACTTAAACCATATCTTCACCTCAGCCAATGGTCCAGATTCCTGGGCTCTTTCCTCGCGCGTGATTTTTTTCAGGAGTAATTTGTTCGTTTCCTGTCTTGTGTCTGCGGATTCTCGAAGCTCGACGACAGGCCTCTTCACTATTTAGTCTCTACAGAAAACGATTTTGAGCCAATTATTGATCAATCGATGTGTATGCAGACGTGCTACCATATAGAGGACGCGTTCTGCAACAGTGACTCCTGAACCTAGCCTCCCAGATTCAATGACCCCAAGAACTCTCAGGATGAGGATGCTACATTCATCAGGAACTAACTAAAGTTCCAACCCCCCTCCATGGTGGTGGCACCATTCATCATTTAGGAATTTCCAATCTTCCAAGATCTTAACCAAAGGCTTAGTTTGACTCTGGAGGAATTGAAAAAAATGACCGCCTGAAAATTGATGAAAAAAAAAAAACCAAAAAGGCTTTTTGTCATCCTCGGTGGCTGTCGAAGTCGAACACAGAGTCTCATCACTGCATGGAGTTCTAGCAACATCTATGTTGTTGCAGACATAGGATGCAGAATGCGCCAAACCTCAGCCCCTAGAATTTGTGTCCCAGCACATGAAATGAGGGGAACAGACCACATGCTTAAATTACAATGCATCGAGGTGTAGATGACTCCGTGCTGGTCCACCGTTGACAAATGTGTCAAACACCTTTGTTTCGTTACATGCACTGTTGGGTTCTCTACAGTGTAAATGCCTAGAAATTTTAAGAGACAAAAGAGCAGACCTCACATGACCATTGGAAGAAGAAAACAATACTGCCACTACTACTACTACTACTACTTTGTTGTTGTGTTGTGCCCCAAATCATCTCTGCAAACTCTTCCGAAACATGGGCTTCACAATCTTTGTTTTCTTGGAGTCTGACTTCAAATTTGTGCAGCTTACACTTTGCGGTCACGAGAAAGCAAGAAATAGATTGCTACAAATGTAAGATTTTGCATGTGTGTGACATCATACATAGTAGCTCAATAAATTGATGGAAGATGATGCATGGGTAGGGAGGTCCCCCGCCCCGTTGCACACTAATTCCCCTATGCCCCCACTTCGTCCCCCGCCTCGCCCCACTTCCCCCCCCCCCCGGGTAGGGACACCGGTGAAATTAATAAAATTTTGTTATAGTCAAATTTTTGCAAATAATCAATTACTATAATATCAACGTATTATCAAAATATAATTCATTGTAATTTCACAATTAAAATTTATAAAAATAATCAAACAAAAGATATTATACAAGCCAACTATTTAAAACAAATATAATTGAAATAGCCAAATTTTCACTTTTGATACGAATACAATCACTAAATCATTATTATGTTTTTTTTTTTTTGCGAAAAAGTGTTATTGTTTTAAGTGAAATTAGAAATTTAGTATAAATGTATAAGTAAATTTGGTATAAATAATTAATAATTTCTAATTATTAGTATAATTGATAATATCAATTATATTACATATACTAATATACATTATATAATACATATAACTAATAATATCATTATTATAAGTTTGTAAGTAATTAAATTAAATAGTATATACATATAATTATGTACATACATATATTTATTAATTTTTTTTAAACTACACCCCCCACCGGTCCGCCTCATTAGCCCCGACGGACATCTGCCCCAATTGCCATCCCTATGCATGGTGACCTCAAAGTTAAGCAACATGAATCGAGGAGTCCCAAAGATCTTGAAAGTTTCGTTAATTCAAAAACACAAAATAACGTGCATTTCGGTTTTTTTTTTTCCTTTTTAATAATTCGAGTATACTAAATTGATAAGAACACTATGATCCGGGGCCCTAAAAAATTTGTCTCAAGACTGAAGGTTCCTCTTAACTCCTCTACATGCTGCATTTATCTTCTCTGAACTCTCAAATTCTGAGTTAAGTATTTCTTGACAAAAGGTCACGTGACTGATGTCGGCAGACTAAAGTTAAAAACTAAGGAAACGTGGAAGCTTAATATAGAAATGGAGACCATATGGAAGCGTATCGAGCGACTCATTGGCAAATGGAACTTACATTTTTTTGCATGGGTTTGGACAAAGCAGAGTGGCTTGTCATGGCGTTTGAAACATTGATCATGGAAGAGCTAGCCTTTTAAGTACTACTTTGCTAATGGCTCCAAAATTTATCGAGGAAAAAACCCTCCGCATATCCTAATACCACGATTTGAATGTCTCCATTGGCTTAAACTTTAAAGGCATTAAGGCCCGCGAGCCAGCAGAAAACGTCTTAAGACTATAAGAAAGAAACAACAAATCTAGGATCTGATGTTCCTAATGAATTCTAATTGTAATTAGTTAACACGGGAAAGATAGTCCAATTATGCGACTCTCTCTTCTTTAGTCCGAGTAACGCCTACGTAACATCCGGTGTCTACTTAGTATTTCTTTTCCTTTTGATGCCATTGGTGTGTTTGACCAATAACTAAATGGGTGCCACATCGTGACTGCACATATGTATACTCTTGATACATATATCGGATGATTAGTGTGAACCCTAGCTACTCTTATCCCTTCATTTAATGATTAAGGTATACTCTGATGTTTGTAACTAATATAAAAAAATATGCACACAAATTATTTCCCTTCTTTTAGTGGATCTAGTGAGAAAATAACACAATTGCCTAGACTGAAGAATTAAAGGGTTTATTAGTGTGGAGTTGGGACTAATGTCACAGGTTGATCGCTTTACAATTGTGCAGATAACCATAAATAGATTGGGATGATTTTAACTTTGTTAGTAAGAATATTAATAGAAGTATAAAAAGTGATCGATCACTATATGTTAGCATTCTTAGGGTCCGTTTGGATTGGTGTTTTTGCGCCTGTTTTTGAAAAACTGTTTTTCACAATCCAAATGCTACAGTAAATATGTATTTCAAAAACAACTTAAAAAACACCATATCCAAACAATATATCAAAAACAACTCCAAATATATTTCAATTATGCATATTTAATTTGTATATTTTAATAAGTATATTTCAATTTGTATATTTTAATTATGTATTTTAATATGTATATTTCAATTATATTTTAATATGTATATTATATATATTATATTAATATAAATATATTTATTTTAATTATGTATAATATTATATATATTATGTCAATTGAAATAAATATTATATATTTATATAAATACATTTATTTATATATAAATTTATAAATATATTAATGCAATTTTGTTTTATAATATATATTAATATGTATATTTCAATTATGTATATTATATATAAATTATATTAATATTAATGTATATTATATATATTATACATTTCTAATATTATATATTTATACATACATATTATAAATATTTTATTTTATTTAAAATATATTTTTATATATTTATAATATATTTACATAAATATTATATGTTATATAAATTATATATAATATAATATATAATATATTATACATTTATATAAATGTACATTTATACATAATATATAAATATTTATGTATATTGATAATATACATTTATATTATGTATTATATATAATATAATACATTTATACATTTATATTAATATATGTAATATTAATTTTACATTTATACATAATATTAATACATGTATACATTTATATTAAGTATATTAATACATTTCAACATAATATTAAAACATATTTATAATATATTAATTTATACATTTATATAATATTCATTTATAATTTATACATTTTTAATAATATACACTTATACATTTAAATATACATTTATATTATGTATTATATATAATATAATACATTTATACATTTATATTAATATACATAATATTAATTTTACATTTATACATAATATCAATACATATATACATTTATATTAATTATATAAATACATTTCTACATAATATTAATATATATTTATAATATATTAATTTATACATTTATAATATTCATTTATAATTTATACATTTATAATAATATACACTTATAATTTATAATATATTTATAATATTCATTTATAATTTATACATTTATAATAATATACACTTATACATTTATAAATATATTTATATTATGTATTATATATAATATAATACATTTATATATTTTTATATGAATATATAAATATATTTATTTATAAATATCTATAAATGTATTATAAATGCATAAATGTATATTTATATAAAAATTATAATTTATAATTTATACATTTATATAATATTCATTTATAATTTATACATTTATAATAATATACATTTATACATTTGTAAATATAAATGTATTATAAATGCATAAATATATATTTATATAAAAATATAAAAATTATAATATTCTAAAAATACTCAAAAATATGTTTCAAAAATACCTCTAAAAATAATCTAAAAAAATCTACAGTAAAAGTTTTCATATAGTTTTTGAAAAACAACCCCAAAAACAACTAATCCAAACGGAGCCATTAGGTTTTCCACACACATTCAAGCCTATCTCTATCTCAGCAGGAGATCATCTTCATTGACGAACACATACCCAACAACGTTAATTCCTGTCCATCCTCTTTACTTTCAACGATGATATCTGTGAGGGTGTTGCGAGTGCGAATGTGAGTATTTATATTTGCTGTTCCTTTCGTTGTATTCTAGGGATGCAGATTTGAAGAGGGAAAGAATTAAAAAAAAAAAAAGAAGAAGAAGAAAGAAAAGAAAAAGCAAGCATTAAATGATTATCTGCGATTTAGATTACATGATGAAGATTAAAAAAAAAAATTAGAGTATTTTGTGCAAACCTAGTAGGATTAGCACGTGCAAATAATATGATTGCATGTTGATGATACTGAGGGTCTGCCCTGAAAGATCTTCTGTGCGTTTTGTCTT